CATTTCAAGGCTTTCTGGTGACACCTCTCTCAATAGCTGGCTCGTGCCATGGTGTAATCCTGCCAGGCACCAAGGCCATCATTAGGGGATGTCAGGGAAATCTTGTTAGTCATATAATCACCTCTCCAGGACTGGGTACACTCAGTCAGGTGGAGATTTCTTGGTTCTTCTCCCTGACAGGTTGTATCTGTATAGCCAGTATAACTGCCTTTCGGTGTAACACACCAGCTTCTGTATCTGTATAGCCAGAGTATAACTGCCTTTCAGCGTAACACACCAGCTTCTGTATCTGTATAGCCAGTATAACTGCCTTTCGGTGTCACCAGCTTCTGTATCTGTATCGCCGGTATAACTGCCTTTCGGCGTAACACACCAGCTTCGCAGGCACGCGGTGCGGCGGCAGCTGGCCACATTACACTGATCAACTTGTTACACCTAACCCTTGAACTTCTAACTCTAGACATTGTTTAGAGCTATCTATTGACAATGCCCCTACTGTACTTGGTGACAGTGACTTCCACTCTGCAATAGTTCTAGGAAAGAATGAATTCTTGAGCACCTCAACCCTTGGTTGATAACTCTGGTACTTGAAGGCTTGGCTATGTCTTGTTCTTTCCTGGGCTGGTATTAGGTACTTAGTACAATGTAGTTGGGATGTCCACCAGTTTATTAGCCATTTTGTACATCATGCATAGACATTTTTCTACTGTCTTCCAGCTGTAGAGAGATGACATTACATCTTACTTGCACATGGATATGATGTTTTTTCTTGTATGACACCTGTTTTGCTGTTACCATGCCAAGTCTGTCTCCATTTTTCTGTTTTTTTTTTCTAAACATTGGATTAGAAACTAAGAACAGTTGTGGCAGGTTCAGCTATGTTGACTTCTAGTGCACCCTGATGTTCTCAGTTTGGACCAACTGACACCTGTCATACAGTTTTTGCAAAAGGTCTAAATATGGGAACAATAACTACAATTGTTGCCATGATTGTAATTATCATGAATGGGAGAATTCTGGGTTCAAATGTACCTATATCAAATACTTTCTATAAGTAAAAGAATTTCTCTGCTTACATTTTTTATTCTTCTGTACAAACAAGTGCAGCCCTACGGCCACTTGTCAGCTCTGGGTAAAGTTAATTCTAGGCTGACATTGCGTGCCTACAGACTCAACCTCCACTGTGAGGCCTTGTTCTTTGTTAAATAGCCCCAGGTGTTAATCTCAACTCCGATAAGACCCAACAAAAAAGCAGTTTGAACTCTTTCAGAAGCCCAAACATCAGCCCAACAAGGTTTGACTGGTGGCAGGATGGGCAGTAGTAGTGTAGGATAGAATGCACAGTTTGTCAGTAGTCTTGTTATCAGTGTTTACTCAGCAGTAAGAATGAAGCAGTAAAGTGATGATAATGGCAGTGTCCTGACTGTCTGAACTATGAAGCCTGGCTTTGTTTCACAGCAGGCTGCTGGCACCATTTTCTCTCAGCTGAGCAACCATAAATAACAACAGGAAATAACAAAGACAGTAATTAACTGCTTCAGGTGATGGTGGCAGAGGTGAGTGGCTTTGTTAAGGTGTATTGAAGCAGCAAAAACCCACCTCACCTGAAGTCTGACAGGTACAACACAACATATACCAGCCAGCTTTCTCCTGTGGAAAAACTTAAAATCCTCACCTACAATGTACATGTATAACCAGCACTTTGCATCCAATCCTACAGGTCAGGGTTTTGCTGGCATGAAAAAAATTGCAAAAAAATGAGCGTCAGGATTTGAAAAATTGAAAAATCAGCACATGAAAAAAAAAATTTAGCTGATTCCCATTTTAAAACCTTTGTTTGTTGTTTTAAACGTACTTGTCGTGTTAGTCAAACATTATTTTAAATCTTAATCAGTGAAGCCAAGCCAGGATAGAGAGTTTTAAAAAATGACATAACTAAATAATGTTGTCTGAATGAAGAGTCACCATTCAGTGTCTTACCAACCTGATGACACTATTCACGAATGACAAAACTATTTTAGTATCATGTGGCTGCATAAAGAGAATGAAACTCATCAATTTTCAAATATTAAGGTTCTATGTGAACAAAGTTTGATGAGATTTTCACATGAAAGAATCTGCTTGAGAGAATATGGAATTAAGTTTGAAAATGTTGTTACATCTTACAAGGCAAAAGCCTTCTAGTAGTACATGTAACTTTCAAATATTGTATTTATACAACACTGAATGCAATCTAAAAACAGTGTAAAACATTGCAGGATTTGCATTTGGAATAGCTGATTAACTTCAAACACTCAAGCTTTTGTTATTATAGTAGAGCAGAAACAATAATTGATTCTGTATTATGGCCACAGCAAGTAAATTTTGTGGATGACATGCTCTCCAGACTCCAAATCTAATGTGAGCAGGCGAAAAAAAAAAAACTAGACGGGCAAAAAAGAAGATTCCTTCATTTTCAAATTTTGTGCTCATAAATAGGTAGTGGATATTATAATGATAATCTAATTATAATAATGATAATATTATTATATGATATTATGATAAAACTAAATCGCATCTCATTATTACCAAATAGTTGAAACTTTTCAGAAGACCTCTGATTCGATAACTTCCATGTAACAGAACCAGCTTTATGCTTCAGTAAAGGTCTGAGTACAGACTGACACATACACGATTCTTTAATATTAATCTTACTTCCAAACCTTGAAGGATCTAGAAGCAAGACAGACTTAATAAATAAGTCTATTGGAATATAAAAATCAAGGACTAAAGGACAATGTAAAGCACAGCACATTGTCACCTTCAAATATTGTTCAATGGCTACTCTTTCTCTTTCAGTTTTGTTTTTATTTTGTTAGAATCAGTATGTTCTTTATTGAATGACACTTGACATGTTATAAATAGTTATGTTATGTGGTGATACTGTCAGCCTCTAGTGCTCCAAATTATGTATAGTAAGATACTATATATATTGTGCTTTCATAATCTCTGAGGAGTATTCCTAAAATGTTGATATGCTCCCCCTACAGTCCAACTGCAGGTTTCTCCATTATTGTGTGATTGTGAACTTTCCCTATCTTGATGCAGTCCCCAAGTGCTTGTCAAATGTGGCATTTTAGACATATCCCCTCATAGGGTCTAATGCGAGGGAATAAAATATTCAGTAGTACAAATATATGAAGTCACAACAGGTGAAAAGTTCCACTGCAGCCAGCAGATTTTAACTGGTGAAGTCTGATTTCATTTGTGTTAGAAAATTGCACCTAACTTTGTTCTGATTTCTGAAGCCCAAAAATCCCCCCTGCACTCATATTCCTTCCATAATTAGCTTGAAATTTGTCTCCCCCCTCCTGCCTATGATATACGAGGATGTCTCTCTTTGCTGCAGAAATTCCCCTGCTTTACACGCGATGTCGTGACCCCTGCCCCATGGCGAGGTGAGGGGTGAATTTTGAAGAGACTTTGGCGGTAAACAAAGCTCACTTCCCCCGGGTCTACTGGAGCGTGAATACTATCCTCCCCCTGGCTGACGGCATTTGAGACAGGCCAGAGTTTAAACCCAGACTTGCCAGCTTTCTCTCAGAATACTGATTTAAAGATGCATCTTTAGCTCAGAAAGGTGTGAGAAATCTAAAAGCTCAGGCAGACTGCCAAGTGGTGTTCAGGGGAAGTGAAACGTTGTGCTGATTCCCTCAGGCCAGGGTCATTCTGCCTAACTGAACCCCAGAACCCAGCACAGGCCCAGGCCAGGCTGGTAGATAGACTGGTATGTTGATGGCTGGATCTGATATCCCCCATGGGTATAGCTCCAGAGAAATAACCACTTTCTGATTCAGTACAAGAGTCAGTAACTATGATTTCACAAAGACATACAGTAGAGGCCAGAATATCCAACAAATGTGATAATTGTGGTTATAACTTATGGAATTTAGCACCATTTGTGATTTATAATTTACAAACTTCATTTTTTGTTGTGAAGTATCATCATTGATGAAATCTAACATTAGAACATCATATTCTTGGTATTATACATATTGCTAATAGTCCCCAATAGAAAACTCCCAGTACATGTAGTTGGTATGCCCAGAACTCAGCTGGCTAACTCTTCTGGCAATTTCTGTAACATATTATATTTGGCCAATTTTTTCTACTACCCCAGCTACATGTACCCGCTGAATTAGTCAGGTAGAGACAATATACATGTAAATGCAGGTCAGTTATTGAGAAAGAAAAGTTCTGAACATGTCTCCCTAACTAGTTAAGAACCACTGCTAACCAACAACAATCTTTATTGACACAACAAAAGTACAGCAACTTTCATAAGGTCTATAACTATACATGCAAACAAAAGTGAATGCAAATGAATTAACCTACATACAAATGTATTAATAAATCGACATGTTGAGTTTGACATATCAGATATACTACTAGTAATTTGTAGTAAGAATTTTTTCAGAGGTGTTCCCAATGACTGCAGTATCAAGATGTGAAGAAGTTTTGAAATGTTGGACAGCTATAGAAAATATTTTCTTGGTACAAGTATATACTTAGGAAAAAGAGTTATTGCCTAAAATGAGACTTCCACAACTGGCAAGGAAATATATCCCTTTAATTCAAACTGAATAACTTTATTAACTATAACAAGCCCTCAGTTTGTAACACTGTTACTTGCATGCAGTAAGCTTGCAGTCATTCTACAGTTACAAAATTCCCCTTCCTTCTTGCCACTTTGCTGCATTCAAATACTGACACCCAAGCAAACACACATACACACACCACACGCACGCATGCACGCATACACACACACACGCACACTCACACGCACACACACACAAACACACACACATGCATGCACACTCACACACTGACACACGCACACAAACACACAGACAGACATACACACACACACACAATATATATATATAATCCAGGAATAATAAGATGTTGTTGAAAGCAGTATTATGAGATGTGACATGTTTCTCCCCTGTATGTTTCTGCAGCCTCCCTACACAAACCCAACAGTCTGTCCAACAGACTAACAGACGGAGGTACCAGCCATGGCAGCCAGCAGTACCATGACACTTACTTCCCAGAGGGGGAGATGTTACTTCAGGTAAGAGCCACCACCTCAAATCAGGAGAACCAATATTAGTGGAGAAGTTTCTTATTGAGAAGGATCCCTTTGATGTGATTGGTTATAACCAATTAGAGGTCCAGTAGAAACAGGAGGAGCGAGTAGAAACAGATAAAAACCCTCCTGGTCCCGGGCCGGGGTTCGAACCCACGACCTCCCAAGCACCAGCTTCAATTCCTGACGCTCAAACCACTCGGCTAAAAGTCTAGACCCATCGGCCGGGTCAGTTGGTAGCGCCTATAAACCCCCCACTGTTACACTATATATAGCTACTCCCCCTTTTCTTTTCAAGATTCGTCTTCGACTCTTCTGAATTTGACATCCCTGGAGCGGCACTCTTTGCCAATACTCCCAGGGCCTGTGTGGGAACCACTGTAAGAAATAGGAGGAGCCAGTAGAAACAGATAAAAAACCCTGGTCCCAGGCCGGGGTTAGAACTCACGACCAAACCCGGGCACCAGTCCACATGCTGACGCTCCAACCGCTCGGCTAAAAGTCTAGACCCCTGGTAGCGCCTATAGACCCAGTTGGTAGCGACTATTATACATGTATCTAATACCAGCCCAGGAAAGAACAAGAAACAGTCATGCCTTCAAATATCAGAGTTATCAGCCAAGAATTGAGGTACTGTAAATGCATTTATGTTCGCGAGGACTAAATTTCGCGCAGCGGAGCAAAATAGAGAGTTCGCGAGGGATTTTAGTTCGCTATACAGCAGAACCAAATACAAAAGGGAATGCCGACTTCCGCCCCCCCCCCCCTTTCATGGGTTTACCCGGCCCAACAGTGTTACCCGGCCCCGGAAATCCCCCATATTTGATAATACTAAAGTCCCAATATTTTTCTTTTGTCACACAAAATTGCCGGCTATGGAATCTTTTAACAAAACGCTACTTAGTACAGAGTAACAGTGATTTGGTTGCAGTTAAAAATTCATACCGATGGCTCGTGCTGAGAATCACACGGGATCTGTATCGTACCGAAGGACCAGGCATCGAACGGTTAGATTTTTACTCGGATATTCAAAGATGAACTTGTAAAATACATTTTCAAAAGCAGGAAAATCTTGTTTCCCGGCATTTATCTCTTGAAATACGACGCTGATTTGACACAAAAATTAGTTTCATGCCCCGCTCCTGGCTTTCTCAGCTAGCTGCATAAATTTTGACGGTATGCAAATCTCGCGTCACGTGCCCGCATTTCGCGTCTCTGATTGGTTGTGCGTCAGTCGGAGCAGCTCGCCGCGGTAACATACAAGCGGGCCGACGCGATGTAAACAAATTTTCTTTGTTTTAATATAAGCGCTAAAACGCTTTTTCCACAACTACACATCGATCTTCTAGTGAAGGAATGCATAGTTCCAAGAATCTTTCGGGAAAATGTATATTTCTATGGGGATTTTTGGTGTTTTCGGCGTGATTTTGCAAACCGGAAGTATACGGACCTCGGCGTGCCTCGGCGTGGGTTCGTCGTACCCACGCTAAATTTTTAGCATTTTTACCCTCCGTTTTACCAACCAAAACAAAATACAACTCCCGCTAAGGAGAACCCAGTAACATTTCAGATCCCAGCAATAATGTTTTTGATCAAAATATTTGTGGATGTGCCTGCATTTTAGCCGTATTCCTGTCGCAAGCGGCCCCGCGACGTGCACGCTAAGATTTCTTGTACGCAGTTGACATTGGCCTGACACTGGATTCGGTGTCTCGCTGTAATTTTTATCAGTATAAATAATTCTGATACTCAACAATAGCGCAGAAATATTCTATTTCTTGAAGAACTGGACAGGTCTACTTTTATTTGTGTCTATTTCTGCTGAGACAA